AAAGTTCTTGTGCTCAGACATCACGGGGAGCCTCGGATAATGTTGGGTGAGTGTTGTTTCTTGATTTTCTTAAAGTTTGCTGCTTTTTGTAATTTTGTGACTCGGGTCTGTCTTGGTTTCGTTTGTTGGATCTGATTCAGTGTGAAGAGGTTCGTTCTTGATTTTGTTTTTGAAGTCGATATGATGTGTGAAATTGTTCTGTTGATGGTGCGAATTTATGTAAAAAAAGGGGGGTGAAATATGAGAGCTTAGCGCTTTTGGATTTCATGTCCAAGCTCATTGTGAATTGGGGTTTATGGCGTTATCTTGAATTCTTGATCTAGTTGAAATTGTCTGTTCAAAAAAGGTCTTGTTTGTTGGATGTTATTTATGCTCAGTTTGTTTAGTTGAGCTAGATATTAGCTTTTGGGAATTGGGATTTAGCGAAGTAAATAGGGCATATTGTCGGAATGCGAATAATATAGTCTTATATGTTTACCATCTGCCGAATCACTTTATTTGATGCCGAACTTTTCCGTGTAAGGCAGTGGATGGAAGAAAGATTGTATCTGTGAGATATGGAATTCTGTTCGTATTCTGATGTTAGTTGTTCGACAGCTGGAACGAACTCATTGCTAGCGTCATGGTAGTTGGAATCTTAAGTCGAAACCTCGATTTATGGCCTTCTCTATGTTATTTATCGTCCCGCATTGTAATACTTGTCGAGAACTTTCTTTCACTGAAATATAGCTTTATATACTCCCTCCAGTCCATACTGGTTCATACTTTTATTTGGCCTACAAATATAGGAATGCCACTTTAGATTGATTAACATATCAATTCCTTTTATGTAACTGTGTAATTTGCTTTTGCAAGACTACCAACAAAATAAAATCATGAAAATGAAAGAATCATTAACTTGAAGGATATATAAGAAAATATTCCTGTATTTTCTCTCTATTCATTTTTCCCATTGTATGTTCTTTTCCCCCCACAGCTAAATAGACAAAAGGAAAAAAAGTAAGTGCTCGAGTAATTTTCTCTTCGACATGGAGCTTTGTAACTGCATCGAGCCACCGTGGCCGGCCGACGAGCTACTGATGAAGTACCAATACATATCCGATTTCTTCATAGCACTTGCTTACTTCTCGATCCCCCTCGAACTAATCTACTTTGTAAAGAAATCTGCCGTGTTCCCTTACCGGTGGGTCCTTGTCCAGTTCGGCGCCTTCATTGTCCTCTGTGGGGCCACTCACCTAATCAACCTCTGGACCTTCACCATGCACACCAGAACTGTGGCCGTAGTCATGACAACGGCCAAGATCCTGACAGCTGTCGTCTCGTGCGCGACTGCCCTCATGCTCGTTCACATAATACCCGATTTACTGAGCGTAAAAACTCGGGAGCTCTTTTTGAAAAATAAAGCGGCCGAGCTGGATCGGGAAATGGGCCTGATCCGAACCCAGGAGGAAACAGGGCGGCACGTTCGGATGCTAACGCACGAGATTAGAAGCACTCTCGACAGGCATACTATTCTGAAAACTACGCTGGTCGAGCTCGGGCGGACGTTGGGCCTGGAAGAGTGTGCCCTGTGGATGCCGACCCGAACTGGGCTGGAGCTCCAGCTGTCTTACACGCTCCGGCACCAGAACCCAGTTGGGTTCACGGTGCCCATACAGCTGCCGGTGATCAACGAGGTGTTCAACACGAGCCGGGCTGTGAAGATATCCCCAAGCTCTGCCGTGGCCAGGCTGAGGCCCGTCGGAAAGTACATGCCGGGGGAAGTGGTGGCCGTGCGGGTACCACTCCTTCACCTTTCGAACTTTCAGATCCATGACTGGCCTGAGCTCTCGACCAAGAGGTACGCGCTCATGGTGCTGATGCTGCCCTCGGATAGCGCCAGGCAGTGGCACATGCACGAGCTGGAGCTTGTTGAGGTGGTGGCAGATCAGGTTTGTTCGTGCTTTAAAAACTGAAAAAGAATGAAATTAAATTATTAAAATAAATGAACTCGGTTGTGTGAAATTGGTTTGTGTGCATTTTAGGAATTGTTTCTATTGTGTTTTAGGGCTTTATAATGCTGTGTTGATGATTTTGGAATTATTATGTATGTACAGTTTTCTGATGGTTTTGGAATTATGATGTATGTACAGTTTTCTGGGTAGCGAGTGTGTTGTTTGTTCACAGTAAGTAGTAGGTATGCTATGATTATCAGGTGATATTTTTCCTATTCGGAGGGTGGTGTTTTTAAAGTGCATTTGTCGTGTTAGGTCTAGCCGAACCGAGTATGTTATTGATATTTATGATTTTAGCCGTGTTGCTGAAAGAAACCCCTGATGATAATCAAAAATAGAGAAACGAGTGTCAAATCGTGCTGCCCTAGTCTGATTGTTGCTGTAAGTTTCATCTTTTCCTGAAGTAACATATCACTTCACAGTGTATGCAATGAATTCAAATTTTTTCTCTTTGATTAATTATAAAAAATACACTTATTTAGTTTAATCTTCTTTGATACTACTTTCTATTTCACCAATTGCATCTTTTTTTTTTAATTATTTTGTTGTCCGTGTGTGTGATTCCGCCAAACTGTAATGGCAGTTCTTGTAATTATTTTACAATGACATCTCTAAGCATCCGTTTTTATTATAACTACTCAGGTTGCTGTTGCACTTTCGCATGCTGCTATTCTGGAGGAGTCGATGAGAGCTCGGGACCTCCTAATGGAGCAGAATGTGGCACTCGACCTGGCGAGACGAGAGGCTGAGACAGCCGTGCGGGCCCGCAACGATTTCTTGGCGGTTATGAACCACGAGATGCGCACCCCAATGCACGCAATAATTGCCCTCTCATCCTTGCTTCAGGAGACGGAGCTCATGCCCGAGCAACGTCTAATGGTCGAGACAATTCTCAAGAGCAGCAACCTCTTGGCCACCCTTATTAATGATGTCTTGGATCTCTCCAGGCTCGAGGACGGTAGTCTTCAGCTCGAGATTTCACCTTTTGACCTTCATACGCTCTTCAAGGAGGTGGGGATAGTATATTCTTTTTTCTGTATTTTTATTTATTCTGTTATTATAGGTAGTACATGCTAAAAGTAGACGAGAACCCAAAGTTGGTAGCTTTTTACTAATCGGAATTAGAAGTTGAGTTAATGATTTTAATGTGGTATGCAACAAGTTTACATGAATGCTAGAAACTTCTTGAAGGACTTGGTTTTAATTTCAGAAATTATGCTGCTTTCCATTATCTTCTTCTTCTTTTACGATATACTTTGAATCATTCAAACAAAGTGGAAGGAAAGAAAGTGATCAAATGATCAAATCATCTTTACATCTCATAGCTTAAACTTTTTCATATGCTCACACATTTTTAACCACGAATCATATAACATCATTATTTTGTACTATATTCTTTATATTTCATCATTTACTTTTTCATCTTATACTTATTAACACACTAATTCCATGCTGCGCTGGATCTTTGCTGAGACAGAAATTTGTGCTTCTTGGTGCAGGCACTCAACTTGATAAAGCCTATTGCCTCTGTGAAAAAGCTCTATGTTACGCTGAGCATGTCCCCCGAGTTGCCAGAGTATGCCGTTGGCGATGAAAAGCGGCTAATGCAAGTTCTCCTAAACGTTGTTGGTAATGCTGTCAAGTTCACGAAAGAGGGTGGCATCACGATAACTGCCTTTGTGGCAAAATCAGACTCCCTAAGAGATCCTCGGGCCCCCGACTTTTTTCCAATCCCAAGTGATAATCATTTCTATCTACGCATAGAGGTTTTTTTTTTTTTTCTGTATGCTGTTTAATTGATTTGTTTTTGCTGAAAATTGTCTTGGAGGTCGTTAAAAGTTTCTAATAACCGCTTCTTTTTAATTTCTTAGGTGAAAGACACCGGCTTGGGAGTCAACCCGCAAGATATTCCTAAGCTTTTCACGAAATTCGTGCAGTCTCAGCCTCTTGCTGCCAAGAACTCTGGTGGTAGTGGCCTAGGCCTTGCGATATGTAAGAGGTAAATTTCTCGTTCATGGTATTTTTTATGGAAATATTTTTTCATTTTGTCTGAAAAACCGCTTCCTTTTTTTGAAATGCAATGGTTAGTCATTTTCTTTCTAGAAATGCGACGCCTGTTTTTCTATCAGTACATATCTAGATCAATAATAAACTCTTTTTGAAAAAAATAAATAAATAAACATATAGTTTCATTTGCAGAATCTTATTAACATACCTCCTTTAGATTTATTTTAGTTTCCAGTTCATTTTAATCCTTTTAATCTGAATTTGCATGATCAGGTTCATAAATCTCATGGAAGGCCACATTTGGCTCGAGAGTGAAGGCCTCGGCAGGGGCACCACTGCAATCTTTATTGTTAAACTCGGTTATCCCGGACGCTCGAACGAATCCAAGTTACCTCTTCTGCCCAAAGTTCCACGATATCAGGCAGTCAACCCAAATTTTTCGGGCCTAAAAGTTGTCGTGATGGACGACAACATGTTAGTAATAAATATATTAATTACTTCATCTTCAATATTTTCAAGTTCAATTTTTT